GATTAATTAAACATATTTTAATCATTATCATTATTTTTTGCAATAGCTAAGCAGATTTTGCATATATTCATGTTGAATATTTTCATGGTAAATTTTAATTGAGGGGTTGCAGCAAGATAGTGCCAAGCCACAGTTTTGGTCAAATTGAACTAATCACTAACATACCAACAACTGCCGTAAATCATCGGGCTATAATTTACGGCAGTTGTTGAACTAATCACACCATCTGCATGTAAACACAGTAGGCTAGAATTGTTTCGAGAATTTCCTGAAAATGTCTGTAGATGGCAATATATGCCATAGAACTCCATATTGCCTCAAACTGGCAGCATGACAGTGTCAAGCATCAGTCATTAGAAGCAGTACCATGGTAGACAGGCCATGGCTGAATAGGAAATTAGGCGATTCATCAGTTAACAAGGTCATGGATTCTGATTACCAACTGTCAGGCATTGATGTTTCAACCACAAAGTAAAACTGAGGTTAGTGTTGCTTGGCATTATCTTTATCCTAATACGGTGTTTGCACACAATCCACGACTCACTTTGATCTTGATTTAACCACACAGGCAGTCCACTTGAGAAGAACCCGGCTATTGCATGCAATGATAAAACTGACATAACTACTTGATAGGTCATGAACATCAACAAACAAAATGGAAGTTTTGGTTAGATATAAATACTTTTTCTTGCAATATATCTGATAATAGTCAGATCTCATTGTCTCTCTAAATATCTTTTTTATTTATCTGTCGATAGCCCGACATGTGTTCTGCAGCCATCTTGTTTCTTCTTGCACGTATGGGATTGTAGGAACTCTCTTATGACTGGATCTAGTTTCACAAACTCTCAAATTGATCGTGATTGAACCTCATTTCAGTAGAAATTGAAACAGTCAAGAGAGGTTGCACCACAGCACCAGTCACTGATCTTATCACAATCTAGATTGAAATACTCAGTGAGAACGGGGTATAACATATGACTTTTCATATTTCATCAGCATGCAATCCCACTTCTTTTTCACAAATGAAATTAATTTTCTATTGTAATTGACGTAATTGTGGTTATTTTGAATAGAAATGAGTTAGTTAACCTATCCTATGTTGAAATTTTTCTCCATTGCTGTGTGGCCGCCATGTTGAATTTTTGTCAATGTTAAGCCTAATGAAAAAAATTTTTTTAAAATAATAATTGTGGCTACTGTATCATTCAAAATTACTTTTTTATTTTGCACAAACAAAATAAATATATTGAAAAATATAAAAACAAAAAAATTATATTTCAAAAGTTTGTTTTAATATAAAAATTATGATGCATAACAACATCTAGTATCAAAAACATTCTGATGCAGAAACGAGTATATTTGGGGTCAACAGGTCAGGTCAAATGAGGTCAACACAAAAATGGGAACAACTTGAAACAGGTTAATATTAAGTGTGTAAACAAAACAAATATGGTTTGACATTGTTTTTCCCATATTTACAAAACTCAAATATTGAGTTTTTCTTCAACACTCTCTGGCATTATCTGATTTATACAAAACAGTTATCTGAGATTAAACATCATTACCTTATTTCTGGCCATTCATTTCTATCAATTTTTCCAAGATTGAAAAGTACCAAAAGGTGCCATCCACTTGTATTTGGTATTGCAGATTGGAAGAAAACTCAAGATTGCAGGATACAGTAAAAATTCTGTGTTCTCTCTAAATAGTGGAAATGAGGCTTGACACTATCTTGCCTTGACCTCCTCAATTGTAAAATTACTTCTTTTAAACTCTTCTTTTTCCCTGATAAATAAGTATCCATTCTAATTTTATTTATTTTTTGGTCAGAATATTGTTAAAAAAAAATTTGAAACCAAATGCTAAAGACACAGAATGGCTTAAATTAAAATATAGTAGATACTTTTTTCTTAAATACTCTATGCTGAAATGGGAGTATTTTATAAGTTTATGTATCTTATATGCCAAAAATACAGTAAGTCAGGAATTGGCAACCTTTCAGCAATATTGTGCTGAACCTAAGTTATAGTGCTATTCTGGGTGCAGACATATATAACAAAATTGGTAGAATCATATTATCAAAATTAGTCTGGTTATAATGGACTTCAAAAATATATAATTTGAAGTTAAGTTATAAATTGAATTATGTTTGTACATGTGAAGTGCATGCACAACATGTGGATGGTGACACAGAATGCAAATGCATGATTATAATATAAAAATACAAGCAAGAAATTCATTAATAATGTACCATGGCTTACACTAAACTATGGCTTCCATTTAAATGTGTAATTAACAATTAAAACATAATTTTTACTACATTTCTATTCAACCATACTGAAAATTGTCCCACTACAGAGTTTGGCAATCTATGGCATGCAAGTTATTCAAATTTTCACAAGAAAGCTATAATTTTATATACAATATACAGGACAGTTATACAGTAGAGCATCGATTATCCAACCCCCGATTAACAGTCACATCGGTTAACTGGCCATTCTAGTCGGCAAATTTCAAATGCCCGCTAGTGATGTGGCACTACAATATTTGGCTATGTCTTGGCTACTTTAATATTATTTTTGTTAAATTTTTGCATGTTTTAGCTGGCAACACTGGCTTGACCATTGAAGGGAGGCCAGTATTTAAACGAGACTTAATTTTCTAATTATGAATGGTTGTTTGTTTTGTGAGCAATAAAATAATTTAAAAATAATTTTTAACAATACAATAGCGACAATTATTATTTTAAAAAAATATTTGTTAGGCTTAACATTGATGAAAATTCAACACAAAGTTGGTTAATAGCAATATACTAATATACTAATTACATGGGCTATACGAGGTCTGTTCAAAAAGTATCGGACCTTTTTTTCCGTATACACCAATGATGCGCAAGAAGCCTCCTTCAGTGGAGTTGTGGAGGGGACAGTCATGCACAGCCCTGAATTTTTTCCTGCCTGCAGGAAGCATCAGTCGTTGGCAATCGGCCTATGAGTAAGGTCATGTAGTGCGCTCTCGTCGGATTCCACTAAGCTGGAAAATGACTGAACAACATGAGCAGCAATATTACATCAAATTTTGCCAAAAACCTTGGCGATACCCAAGCGTAAACCATTCGCAAGATTCAGCAGGCTTCTGGGGACGATCCTCAAAGCCAAAAAAAGAGTGGCAGGTCCGCAGCAATATCAAAGGTCATGTTGACAGTTTTTTCGACTCTTGTGGGGTGGTGTATCATGAGTATGCACCATAAGGCCAAACCATCGCAAAGGAGTACTACCAGGAGGTCCTTCATCATCTTTCCGATACAGTGCGACGCAAACGACCGGATCTGTGGTCAATCAAAACTTGGCAGCTCCATGATAACACATCATGATAACACATCCGCCCATTCTGCGCATCTGATTCGGGCTTTTGTCGCCAAACACAACACTCCTGTGGTTCGTCATGCTCCGTACTCTCCCTACATGGCTTCGTGTGACTTTTGGCTATTTCCCAAGCTGAAAATGCCACTAAAAGGAACCCGAATTGAGTCGAGAGAAGACATCATGCAGAATCCGATGGACCAGCTGATGGCCATTCCAAAAGATGCATTCCAGCAGTGTTTCCAGCAATGGCAGGAACGCTGTGTGAAGTGTATACATTATCAAGGCGACTACTTTGAAGGGGATTAGGGTTTTGTACCACAAAATCAATAAATTTATTTTTGCCGACCAAAGGTCCGATACTTTTTGAACACACCACATACTAATATACTATACTAATAATGTATTTTTTTCCCTTCTTTTCAGTTATCCAATTTTTTCAGTTATCTGACCAACCTGAGTCCCCAATTGAGTCAGATAATCAATGCTCTACTGTAATTAAATAGGGAGGTGTTTATAGCTCTGTATAAACACCTCCATAAGAACTAATGGACCAAATGCAACCAAATTTGGTATGCATACTTTCTTAACCATGAGATTTCGATTTTGCAAATAAAAATTTACAAACAAGTCATACAGCCAAAATTGATAAATACAAAAACTAGCAAACAAGGTCAAAAACCTATGGAAACTGGAAGGAGCATATATCTGCCCCATAGCTCTATCCTTCACAGGTGTAATCCCAATAACTTTACAAACTCATTTGAAGGCCTTAAATGCCAAACATTTCCTTATAAGATTCAAAAAGCCATCATTCTGAATGAATACTAAAGTAACACTAAGTGCTTTTTGAGATACTGTAGCTTGGTACTGTATTTGTATTGGAACTAAGTTCCAATACAAATACAGTAGAGCAATTTCCAAGTTGCATCAACCCGAATCATGATGTGTATTCTATCCCTATTTTTGTGTATCATAAGTATATATCAACGTGTACTTATCCTGCTTTCTGTGCTCCCAAGATCACCATTAGTTGGCAAGTTGCTTTATGACCACTCTATATATAAATACAGTAGAGCGTCAATTATCCGAAAGTCAATCATCTGAAACGTCAATCATCCGAAAGAATTCCAGTCGGCAAATTTAAATTTTCGCCAGTGCTGTGGCGCTGCAATCTTTGGCTATGTCTTGGGCTACTCAAATATTTTACGTTTTTGATACTAAATTAACTTCTGAAGTATAATTTTTTATTGTTTTTATATTTTTCAATATATTTATTTTGTTTGTACAAAATAAAAAAATAATTTTTAATGATACAATAATCTTCATCAACGAAAATTCAACACGAAGCAACACGCAATGGAGAAAAATGTCAAGATGGGATAAATTAATATATTTTTTCGTACATAGTCGGTTATCCGAAACATCGATCTTCCGAACAACCCCAGTCCCCAATTGGTTCGGATAATCGACGCTGTACTGTATATGTTCTTTCATGATCTTTTCAGCTTTTCTAAGTCAATAATTTATCAAAAGATTGTAAAATAAAATATTCATTAAATAAAATTCAGCATTAAGTAATAACATTGTGTCATATTTAAATAAAATTTGAAAATTAAATTAATCTTTGATTACCTTATTTTCTTCTGTTACAGGAATTTTATTTCCTCCTGGTTTTAATTCAAATTCTTGCATTTGACCAAAAACATCTGTTTCCACAGAAAATGTAAGATCCAAACAAAACTCAGAAATGTCATGATCCAATAACCATTGCAAATTTTTTGCATATTCCAAATCAATTGATGCAACATCCCAAAAATTAACTGGAATTCCAAGTATGTGTTTATAAAAAGATCTAGTAAAGCTTACATTCAGAACCTATAAAATATTTAAAATGTATCTATGCATGAAATTACAATTTAATAAAGTTTAAACATTTTTGTGTTTAATGAAAATGTATCTTACAATTTCCATTAACTGCAATTAAAAGCTAATATATAGTCTATCATCTAAATAATAAAAAATTATTTTTAATTATAAATTGCAAAATGTAATATGCAAATGGATAAAAAAATTAATTTTATCATAACGAAATTATTTATTTCATTAGTGATTAGTGTCATAGTATATAAAATAAATCTATTAATTTAAAAATTGTAAATTAATTACACAAATTTTAAAATATGTTGAAGTATACAATTATTTATCTATTAGTAATTCATTCTAATTCTGAGAAATGTTCTTAGCAACAATCACACCAAAATAATAAATATTTTACATATTATCACATATAATTTTCTATAACACTTTTAATACATAAAATACTTAAGTATTTGAAAGATATAAAAGTATTCTTTATGGAAATTATTCATTATATATTTCAAAATAAAAAACTACAGGTAACCCCCGTATAACACAGCACTTCTATAGCACGGATTCGCTCTAACACGGTTCGAGAATTGGTACCATCCCCCGTATAACATGGTACTTTTATAGCACGGATTCACTCTGACACGGTTCGAGAATTGGGTAAAACCCTCGTACAACAGGAAATGTAATAAATTTTTACATACTTAAGTAATAATAGTTCACGAAAATTATTATTTTCGTGAACTATTAGTACTTAAGTATGTAAATTTTCTCTTCTCGCCTTCTGTCGATACACGTGGTCCTTCTCGAAACTTGTTTCAATGTTGCCAGATCGCGACGCTTCTGCTTCTGATGTTGCCGAATGTTTTTCCCTTATTCCATACTTGCTTTATTCTTCATAAGTGCTTAGCACCATATAAGGAAATTTATAAAGACCTTTTAACTAGAAGCAAGCAATCTAAAATTACATACATTTTGCAAAAGGTAAAGCATGGATCTGAAGATAATGCAGAAAAATGCTCAGAGGATAAGGATAACTTGCCAAAAAGAAAACGCTCTCGGTTAATTAATAGTGTTTTTAGTGATGACGAAGAAAACATTGTTTAATTTATATTAATATGTATCACTTAAAAAAATTTTAATGAAGATATTTATCTTAATTATGAAAATATACTAGCATGTTTTTTAATTTTTGGAACGTAACCCTCCTTTTCGTATTAGTTCTTTGTTTCGTATAACACGGATTCGCATAACACGGCAATTTTTTTGGAACGTAACTACCGTGTTATACGGGGGTTACCTGTATTCCAAATTTCAGTAATTACTTACAAAATTATTTTAAAGATTTATTTTAAAAAGAAAAGCTATTTTATTAATAGATTAATCAGTTTCTATTTCAATAAAATTGGAAAAATTAATCATGATGATTCAAACACATTTTGAAAAACTGATTATATTTAATTTCATTGAAAAAATTTTATGTGCAATTGTTACAAATACATTTTCTATGAATGCAAAAATTTTAGTAATTTTTAACAAATTTGTTTGTGATATAACTATAAAATAACCGAAAAAAACATTTCATTTTCAAATGTCAAAAATTATTCAAAAGTCAGTCAAAAATCAATAATTTGATCATTTCTATTTTAAGAAAACCTTTAATTTTTTAAAATTATTTTTCCTAAAATTATTATTTCTCAAGGAATGTAAAGTGGATACTATAAACAGCAGTTTATATAAACTATTTTATTAAACTTAGATACTGTATATGAAAATTAATTGTTATACTAACATTAAAATATTAAACTGCCTTGAATCATTAGTGTAACATAAATTTTTATATACAGTACACTGATATGTAAATGCACTCATTCATACCACTGTTTATCTTTTTTGTCATTTTAATAAACTTTTAGAACGTGATTATATAGCTCCCTTTAAAAGCTTGAAGCTTTCTTATGTGACTTTATAACAATATGGTTGGCACAGTTTAACCCAAAAGGTCCTTGTGCCATAAAAAGCTAACCAACTAACCATAATCACTTTTATTATAATAATAAAAAAGTTTTAACTGATTAAATTTATAGATGAACACAATTTTTAACAAATAATATGTACTGCAAATATAAAATTAATGCTGAAATTTGCAGAATTAAGAATTATAGTTTATGAATTATAACACTTGATACTAAGATAAAAGAAAAATGGTAATCAACAAGACTGTACTTTTGTTGTCTAGAAAGTAGTTGTGACAATACAATACTGCCATTTCTCCCAAATTCTTTAGAAGGGTTAACTTATTTCCTAACAGTATTTAAACATATGCACTAGTTTCAAGAAAAATATCACCTGTACAGAAAATCTAAAAAGTAGCTTTTAATAAACTAGAATTAAATTAGATATATTCTCAAACAATTATGCAAAAACATTTCAAGATGCAGATACGCTTCCACTTTCTTCACATTAGGTAAAAAAACAAGAAGCAACCAGTATCATCTGGCAAATTTTTAGAATCAGCCAAAATTCAATATTGTGTTACTTACAAGGAAGAAAAAAAATTAATTTCTAAGGGCAATTATTCTTACAGAAAATATAACAATGATTTTTAAATAAAAACTTAAAAGTTCTATTGATACATTGATCTAACTTGATGATAGTTAATAAACTAAGTGCTGATTAACAAGTGGTAGCTCATAGAGAGTAGAAGGCCTTAAAGGTCAAAAACATTCATTTATTTAGTTAATTAAAACTATTTGCTGGTTTTGAAAACCTGTGGTTTTTTTAGAATAAGACAATTAAAATGCATTCTGTGGGTGCAAGATTTTTATAAATTGTTTTCCTCTGTGTACCACACTACATATCTTTCAGAATTTTCAATATATGTCTTTGAAAACATAAAATGAATTAACATAAATTATTAGTGTCTTGAGCAAATATGATTTAAGAAGGTTTACCAAAAATAATGTCTCTATTTTTGTTCTGATAGGAAAATATGTATGTAAATAAATGAAGTGTGACATCAGGAATTTTTGAGACTTCCTGCTTATAAGCTGATAGTTTTACTTTTGTCAATCAATTGTTGAAATGTAAACAACTCTGACATGCATATGAAGCAGCATTACATGATGTGTTCCTGATAAGTGAGAACATTGCACCAGTTGAGATTCAATGACATTTACAATACTTTATGCAGACTAATACAGATGATTTCAATACTTATTAGACATTTGGTTAGGCATGTAGTGAAAAAGGAAATGGCTTAAAATATAGTCAAGATTCAAATACTCTAACACAGCAGAACAGAAGCTAATAAGATTTAGTAGGACAAGTTTCATTCATCATCCCCACTTTGGTGTGATGATGGATGGTACAAGAGCAATATTTCTCTAGAAGCATAAAGTAAAAATAAATGTCAGCAAGTGGCTTAGAATGTTAGCAGCTTTTATAAGAGGGAATATGAGTGTCATGTTAAATGCTAGAAAAGTAAGTGAAACATGAAGGAGACTATGTAGAAAAATAAAAACAAGTCAATAAAAAACTGACTAATGATGTAGAGTAGTGGCATTCAATCTTTCCTAATGAGCTACTTTTTTTTATATCAAGTTATTCAACAATCTTCTCTCTTAAAAAATATATTATTTCAATTAATTCTAAAAGTCATTATTTTATTCACTAATTTTCATTTATTTGTCACTAGTCTACTTTGTCACTAAATAGCATTTTTTGATGCTATCTATCATAAATCACTAAGCTGACAACTTGTACCAACCCAAGTTCAAAAGTGATTTGATGGTACTTTCAATGAAATTACAAGTTAATCCAATCATACATGAATGCATCTTAACAGATTATTAAAATCAATAAAAAATATTATTTTTTTAAGAAAGTAATCTGACTTACAAGAAACAAATTCAACATCATAAATATATTTAAAATGTATTTGCACTACTTGAAAATGATACTAAATATTATTATAAGTCATATAAATAATAACAAATTATATATTGCTATTTTTTCTAATTTATTAAATTGTAGTTCAGTGCATAAAACAGATGGTTGACCAACAATCGCTTCAAAGTTGATCACAACTGATTGAATGTATTTTCTTAGCTAAAAGTTTTCCAGAAAAAAATTGGAAGCAATAATTTTGAACCAATCCTTCAATATTACATGTATTGGATTAATAATTAACTTTTAATTTTCTAATAAGTAAAATTATAGTGGCATATTTCTATATTAATCAAACTTCTTAAATTTTGACCATTAACTTAATAAAATAATTTATTTTATTTCAGTAAGTTTTGTTATACCTGTTTATAATATAGAGCAAGTCCCAGTATCTGACCAGCAAACTGAAAATAAGTCAAATGATCAGGATTTATTGAAGAATTACTATTTGGTTGAAATGTTGATCCATCAGAACTTTGTGTAAAAAGTGCATAATCTGGATTTAAGATTTCTTTTGATAATATATCAAACCATTCTCTAACTACACCTTGACCCATTCCATCTTCTCCTTCAAATATAACAGAAAGTCCTTTTTTTAACTTTTCTGGTGGAACTCGAAGAACTGCTTCACAGCTACTATTAAAAAGATCAGCTAAACACAAAAATAAAAAATAAATTTATAAAAATATTTTAAAATATAAAATCACATATTTATCTATTCACCTCTTGAAATCCTAAGTACAGAATCATTCTGAGCAGAATAAACTAAAGTTCTTTCAGTTTCATGTGATCTTAAATGTTCATTAAACCATTGCTTTCTAGCTGAAAATGGTTGTGACCTGACTAAATGAAGAAACCTGGACATTAGTTCTGGACATTCTAGTAAAAAACTGAAATAGTCAAATATAACTGTGGGATTCCGAACAACTAAAAATTTCAAAACTGTGTCATGTCGGCACACAAAATCAATGAACCTAGGTGAAGTCATTTCCAAGCTAAAAAGAAAAGAAAAAAAAATAGAAATAAAAAATAATAAACATAATACTAATTTATTAAAACATCAAAGTTTATTAAAATTTTTTAAAATTTATTTTTGTTAATAATTAATTTAATAAATTTACTATACATTAAAAGTTATTGAATAACAGTCTAAAATAATAATAAAAATTAATTAGAATTATTATAGTTATTCCACTCAAAACTGGCCATCTGCTAACAGATACACACAGTACACAAAACTTTCTCATTAATTATCAGTAAAGACACATAATTTTCATTTAAAAATTAATAAATTTCTAATATTACAGTATTTCTTTTAGTAAATTTTCTAAAATAAAAATAATTTCATATAATCTAGATTTTTTACAAGTTCTTTCAAACTGATTCTAATCAGGGCAGCTAAGATAAAAATTTGATAATTAGAAAACAATTATATATTTTTATTACATATGAATTTCTAAGAAAGACATAGAAATCATTGATATGTATAGACACACTGAACAGCTAAATACAAAAACAACTTCAATTGTTTTAATAAAAATTTATTTCTCATCTATACTTTAAAGTCTATTTCACAGCATAATTTGTAGACTGATTACTTTTATTGCTGGAGACCTACAGAAGACATTTTGTAAAAAAAACGTCTTCAAACTTTATCTCCTCTTTTCCAAATTAATCACATCCACATTAAAAATGTACCAATTTTATTTGTGATTTAATTTGAGAAAAAATAAAATATCTAGAAAATTTTAAGTTAAGTATAACAAGTGATTTTTTTTCTATTTTTAGTTCTGGTTTACTAAACCAGAACTAAAAAATAAAATCAACCTCACAAATATATTGCCATTCTGATTATTATTATATGTAAAAAAAAACAAAGTAGGAGAAAGATGATTTTAATTACAAAAGAAGATTTAAAATAAACACTTCTTTCCATTTTATATTTTAAAATTAGATTTATATTTTAACAGTGCTGTAATCATTAAAACAATGAACTTACTTTTCTGGAGTGCGACAACCACAGTACCAATAAAAAGCTTGAATAACAGCACAAAGACGAGAAGCAGTTGCATTAATGACATCATCATCTGCAGATTTTTTTACAAAATTAAGTTTTTCACTTGATTTAGAATCTAGATTTTCTTCTACATTCTCAAAATTTGAAACAGGCAATTGCTGTTCACATAAATCACTAACTTCTTTTTTATTTGATAAATGGCAAAGATGTAATCGATCATTCATATCATTTGAATGAGAACAATGGCAATTATTTGTACATTTTGTACACTGTTTTGATTCTTTATGTTCTGTAAATATTTTACAACTGCATGGCAAATCTATATTCATATTCTTGGAATACTCTTTAGCTTCTTTAGAAAATTCAAAAGAATTACTATTTTTTACACTATAATTAATCTTTTCTTCATCTGAAGAAGTATGTGAACTATGATTGACTTTTTCTCTCCATTCAGATTGTTTTTCTTCACTGGAAGTTCTGAAAGGATTCTCTTCAATTTCTGTTTCAGTTAAATAATTACAAGAATTTGATATTTGGCAACAATGATGATTATCATAATCTTCACTTCTTTGTTTACTTTTACCTATTTCACTTGCAGTTTGTGCATTATCATCAGTATGATAATTGCTTGAATTTTTGCAGATATTACAATTTATTGCTGCATCACTATAAGCTGCAACAATACCATTTTTTGGTGATTTATGCTTACAATTAGATTCATTAACACAAGGAATTCCTGTATTACATAATTCTGAAAATGAAAAACTAAACTGATTTTCAAATTCATAAGTAATTGGTGGAGGAGATAAACATGCTCCTTTTAAATCTTGTTCAATAGGATTGCACATGATATTTTCTACTTCTGTGTCTAATATCCTCATCCATTCTTCTAATGAATTCCACAGAATTTCTGTAGATTTAAAAATAGTATTGCTTTCAGGACTTGCATTTGGAGAAGTAAATACTGATGTTGCAGGCACAGGTATCAGTTCTCTGTACAGTTTACACAATACACGGACACATCGCAGAAAATTAGCTGCCTAAAATAAGAAATAATCAATATTAGCAAAAAAATTATTTAAAATTTTATTTTAATCATAAGAAACTCATTTATATAAAAATGTAAAAATTCTTTAAATTACTATAATTTTAACTATGTATAAATATATATATCAGAATCATCACTTTTTGTCATTTCATTCAACTAACACTCAATGGCATGCATAACTGTAATGTTGAGACACTGCAAAAAAATTCTGGGACCCCATGAATGTAAGAAAAAACTGAAAATTACAATCTTTTCAATAATCATCTAATATTGCATGAAAACAAAACTTATAAGTTGAGCTGAATTAATTAATATTCATTGGACACTATTTGATACTATATTAATATTTTTAAATTGTATGCAGATTTTTAAAAAATATTTAAGCAGCATGGGAATTCTGCATTGAAGGGCTTTGTGGAGTCTATGCTGCTGTTAACATTACTGATTCATTTTTATCATCATTACAATCTATTTATTCATAGCATCAATGTGTTTTGTTGGTTTAATTTTTGTCTAAATGAAAACATTGTTTCATGTCAACATTGTTTCATGGAACCTGTTTCTAATGTGTCATTAATTAACCATTGTTTATATTCTTATCATTAAATAATTCATACTTTTCTTCTGTACAGAATCAACAATCGTGCACTTGAATCTTTGATAACCGTGATTAGATCTTCATTGATTCATTTTCATTGCAGTGGTTTCAGAAACAATATCTGACAAAACAATAGATTCCATATACATCTGAAAATCTATAAAAAAAGTTTGAAGATTTTGATTAAAATAATAATTATATTAAAACATTTCTACTGTTTTTTATTATATAAAAAACACAATTATATCTTGTTTGAAATCCATAGAATACTTGTTATCAAATTAAGATACTTCAATTAATTTTTTATAGATCTATTTTGTTTTATATAGCAAATTAAGCTTAAAAAGATAGCTATTCATTTTTAATTTTTCAAAATATTAAATGGATATTTACTTGCAATGTGAAATTACTGGAAACACTCAAAAGTTTATGGCCAGCATGTGATACCAGATCTGAGAGACCTTGGAGAATATGTACTCTTTGCCAATCTCCTAAATGACATAAGTAACGAAGAACCTTCAGTAATGTATCTTCAGTTATTTCTGGTCTTTGGGCCATTTGAATAAGTGATTCATACAATTCTGGCATATAACTAAGTAGAACTTCTGCAGTTTCTCCATAACCACCCTATAAAAAACATACATATGTTTTCATTTTTTAATCATGCATTTTTATAATATAAAGGGAGAGGAATTATGATCAACCAAGTTGGGACTATTTTTTTTCCAAGAATGACTAAACTATCATTTTGACCTAGAATGTAGGTGATAACTTAGTCATTTCTTGGAAAAATAAAAAGATTGGAGTTGATAAAAAATAATAGTCCAAATTTGGTTGGCCATAATGGGGCTCCCTATTTTAATTATTCTGTTATAAATTTTTAGATTATTTATGAGAAGCAATCAGAAAACGTTTCCCTAATTTATCTACAGAAGACAAAGTTCCATTGTTGTAAACTGATGATCTTAAAGTGGCAAAAATGCTTATCTTTATTTTTCCATGTACTTCTCACTATAAATATAAAACAAACACCTTTCTCTATTCTAACCTTCTCTGGAATAAAGAAAGGTGTTTGTTTTATATTTATATAATACTTCCAGTAAGAATTTAGTTATTTATTCTTCTCACTATAACTCAGACTATTGTCACAGTATGGGTTTTTCAATCCCTGATGTGCAGAAGTCCAGGCCTTGCTGTCATAGCCACATACTTGAAGCATGTTTGCACCCATCATCACACAAAGAGGTGACCAGTCATGTGTTCTTTTAAGAAACAAATGAAAATTATTTAGTGCCAAATCTAAGCTGTAGCATGAATGCTCCAAAACAATCCACTAGAAGATGTGCATTAATTCCTGTATGCTCTGTGTAGTGTGAGGCCAGGCTTTGTCATGGGAGGATCACACCATCTGTCAAAAGACCAGGATGTTTCTTCCTGACAGTTTCTCACAATTTTTTGAGTGTTGTGCATTATGTCTTTGATGTGGGACCACTTCTCCAAGTGGTCTGCTATTTTGAGCTCCACAGTGCATAACTAAAATGTCATCATTCCACTCAACCATCTTAGAAATAACTGGTGTCAATAGTACTTAAAAACAGTATATTTTTTCCAAGCAGAGAAACTTTTTCTGATCATCTCTCATATATACAAACAATTATATATATACAAGGAGTAATGTTATATCATAAGAGATACTATAAAATTAAAATATAGATACTAAATAAACATTTGAATCTTATTTCTCTTTTATTACTATATTATATTTATGATATAAAAATATCATTGTGCAAAATTTTTTATTAATACATCTTTTTAGCATCTATATAATATAATTTCTATACACATAATTTTTCTTAATAAAAAATTTATTATTATGAAATTATAGATACTTTTATATTAATTAATATTAGTTTCAAAAATGTATATATAACTATCAACAATATTAATTATTATAAATGAAAATTCATCATAGTTATTTACTCTCTTAAATTCTTCAATTTATATTTTTCACTGTGGAACATTTCAAGTCAAATATATTTTTTAAGTTCAAAACTTATGATTTAATAAACATAAAAATATATGTTTTAAAAATTTTTTTAGTAATTAAAAAATAAAATAAAACAAACCAGCACACAAAGATCTAATGGTGTTTTTCCAGAATAGTCAGCAGTGAATTTCGCTCCTCGAGAAAGCAATATTTGAGCAGTGTCACGTTGCCCATGCCTAAAAATAATTACTGATATAAACATACTATTTACTATATTAAATCAATGGTTTTATTTATTTTTATAAAATAAAAATATGTATTATACAACTAGGAAAAAAACAAATTATTTATTAAATAAAATCTATAATAAATATATATGTAATATATATACAGACATAATTACAAATAAAAGATATTCATGGATATACTTAAAAAATAATAATATAGAGGTTGCGTCCGACGTTTTCAATGCCTAAATGTGTATTTCGGATGTTCAGCACCACCTTTCTGTAAGCCTAGATGTTTGACAAATGGCGTTTGGAATGTCAGTGGAATCATGCTTGACATTCCAAATGCCATTGTCAAACTTCTAGGCTTACAGAAAGGTGGTGCTGAACATCCGAAATATACATTTAGGCGTTGAAAACGTCGGCCGCAACCTCTCTAATAATAAATAGTTTAACTAATATTGTATTATATACCATGGGGATTTAGTATAGAGATGAGATATTCCCCCTTTAGCACAATTAATGGGAAGCTTTTGAAAAAGAGAGATATGTTCAATTAAATCAAAAAAAATTCATAAGATAATAAATACTATTTTTATTTATTTATTTAACAATCCAGACTTAGAATCATTATGCCATTACATTACAAGTCAATCTTTTTTTAAAACAAAAAACTTAAAATTCAAGCTTTATCCACACATTTTAGAAAAAGTGAGAAAAAACTTTAGGATTTTACTTTAGCCAAATAATCTGTAGAATTTCTAATGCAAGTTGGATATATTAAGGAATTTTTTGTAAAATCATCTGAAATTTATTATTTCTTTACTATACAAAAATGAGGTGAAGAATAAATGTTGCAAGTTCACCAAAACATTTTCAGATTTGGTTAAAAAATCATAGCCTTAAAGCTAAAAATTGCAGTTTTAAAATTACAAAAAGAAGTTTTTTGATTTCAGAATATGTATATAGATCTTAGACTTAAATAGTATATATCAAGAGTTGATCATAATAATAAATACAATTGAAGAAAGGATAAAAAGATTCTCTAGCAAAGTATTTAAGTTATTTTTTTTTTGGTGGCTCAGCTTAAAATAAAAATTAATGTTACTTACATGATCCTGTGTGTGTGCTCAAAAGTATTTTTAAGACATGTATTTGATTGCCAGATAGCCAAGATAATTATGATATCAACCCACTGCCCTGCATGATCCAGGCAAGCAAACCCAGGAATTATTCAGGGGTGATCTGTTTGAGATATGTCAAATCCATCCCTCACTACCTAGCAATCCTCATTTGGACTGGTTGACTCCATACTGAACATGATAAAATGCCTTCTTGGTACTTGTAGGGCAAAAAGAGTTGAGAAAAAGACACATTTTTTGTGTTTGTCTTCAATTGTATTTATTAATATAACTAGCAGGTAGGCCCGGCGTTGCTCGGGCAAAAGTAATGATAGCAAAGATTAAGATTATTATGTTACAGTCAACTTTACCCATTTTCACAGAATGCAAGAATTGGGTCCCCCTGTTTCCGTCCCCCTGAAGAATTGGGTCCCCCTGTTCCCATCTAAAAATTCTCTAATTAGAGAATTTTTAGATGGGTCTAAAAATATATTCAATTTCCCACAAAAATGAAAAAAACTGCATCTGTGTCTTGCATGTCGCTTTCTCTTAACAATTCCATTGTTACGTAACACTTCCATTGTTGACACTTCCATTGTTGATGGAAGTGTTAAGCCTTAATCCTGTCCCTCTCCCTGTGGGGAGGAATTTCGAAAAATCCCTTCTTAATGTGCGTTCTTGTAATGTACCCTAACTGTGTACTAAATTTCAACTTTCAACTCCTAACCATTTGGGCTCTATGCTGATTATTATTATTATTATCAACTCATCTCGATTAAAAAATAGATGTAGTTCTAGAGCAAGCATGGCCAACATACAACCTCCGGGCCAGATCCAGCCCAGCTAATGAATCTATGTGGCCCTTNAAAAGGAAAAAAAAAAAAAAAACTCACTGTGCCTTTAGAGTTAACCCTCTGTGATAATCCGGAGGAACTCTATAAAATTGAGTTACATCATTTTTACCCTAAAATAAACTTAAAGAAATAATTTACTTTAATTTCACTTAAAATATGGAAAAATGATAAAATTTGGAATAATTAATAAAACATAACCTAATAAGGTTATAAATTTTTACATCCTGTAAAACTGCTCTGTCACGTAGCACTTTTTCAAGAACTGAGGATGTTTTGCTTCCTTCCTCCACGACTCGTATCTTAGAATTTTGCACACCACCTGCTCAAATGTCACAACTTTTCTGATTATAATGACTGGGCAGAAAAGGTAGATAAAAGGGCAGGTTTCCATACACTCGGGGCAGTTCGTCCCCAACTAGCCATACAGGGGCAGTTCCCCAGACTTGCCATAGGGAATTTGTTCAGAAAGTGCCATAGTGAGCGCTCCGACTCTAACAGTTTATCCTGTCTCCCGACTCCACCTTTACAGGAAGAAATCAACGAGAGAAAGGTTTCCAATGTGAACAACGAGGTAATACGATTATTGTAAAACTCTCTCTCTCAGTAGATAAGACAGATCCTAGTCTCAAGATAGGATATAAGTCTTGTATTTTTCATGTTTTACATCTGTATTTTTATTATTTGTTAGTATTATTGTTAATTCTAATCAAATTATCTACTATAAGAAGAACCTCCCTAGTCTTAGGTTAGAATTATGTTTTATGTTTTGTTATTATATTATTTGTCCTTGTTATTCTGGTCTTCTGTGATTAAAGTGTTGATTTTTATATTCTTGACTTTCGTAGTCGAGTATTTGTTACTTATGCACAACCCACACAGAATCTTACCACTCGGGTTCTGTTAAAAATTAGGCCATCCAGTGACAAAGTGAGCAGGTCTAACTGATCTGACGATTAGAGGGCCTGGACCCTCGTCCGTATTCTCACATACTGTGCCTTTAGAGTTAACCCTCCATTATAAATCTCTTAAGTACAATGTAGAGTGTTGATAAAGCATGATAATGTGAAAAATGTATCTGTAATCTACAATTCAGTCTCTATGAGGTGACCACCATAATGAGATCTCGCACCACCTCAAAATCTTCCTAGGGCAGTCTCTGATTCGGCCCATGAAAAAAGTTCTCTTTCCAATCCAGCCTGGGGGCAAAAACTGTTGTCCACCCCTGTTCTAGAGTTTACAAATGTTTTTCAAGAACTTGATTGTAAAAGCCTTACTGTCCTTAAATTCTAATGTTATTGTTAATTGTCTACTTGGACTTTACTTATTAATAGGACTTAATACTGGTGTTTAAAGATTGGCAATCTTTAAACACCAGTATTAAGTCCTATTAATAAGTAAAGTCCAAGTAGACAATTAACAATAACATTTGTTTTTTAAGAAGTTTATTGTAGGCACTAAAAATATTACCAGATTGAAAAAATAAATAAATACCATTGTCATATCACTAAAAAAAAAATTGGGGTCTTGCTTGTTTGTCTCTATCAGTCCGTTCGTCTCATTTAGTTTGTCATTGTGTTTGTTTCCTTTTTGCGCTGTCTGTCTAGCTGTTAAGTAGTATTAAGATTTGCAATTGCATTCAGTTTTATTAGTATTAAGTAAATATAAGTCTTCCTACTAACAGCCATTGGCACTAACTTCTACACTTAGCTATTCATGGCGGCACTCAATATGGCCAATGCCTTTCTTGTATGTATGTCATATCACTAACTTACTTGAAATCTGTAATAAATTGCCAGACCTGGCAACATTGCCCTGTTCCCACTATCTTGATAATGGCTAATAAACTAAATGTTTATGTCCATAAAAGACATCATCATCTGCTTTTAATGCTTTATATGGATAAAATGGATAATGCATGCTTTAAAATGGATAAAATTAAAAATTAATATATTGTTGCTTAACCAAGAGTAAAATTAGCTGATTAATTTGAACTTTATCTGATTCACAAGCTTTAGCCTTAACACACACAAAAGAATAAGCATTGAAAAATGTCACACACAACTAATCAGTCAGATTATCATTTATATGATTGACAAAATATAGACCATTTAAGTCTAATGTTGCATTCCAGCAAACTGCCACCATTATTTTTCTCTCACTTCAAAGATTTCAAGTACAGTAAAACTTCTCTAACTGAAATGTCTGCAACTTGTATATTTCTTTAACTCAAAATGAAACACTTGGTAGATCTCAATAGAACAGCATAGAGATTTAACATCTCCAACTTGAATTTCTTAACTCAAATTTTCTCTAAGTCAAAGTTTTTCATGGTTTCCCAACACAGATTTATGTTACTTTTAACTTCCCCAACTCAAATATTTATATTTATTCTGTCAAAAGTGATCCTATTTATCAGATTTCCATGAAATTTTCAGAGTTTGACTCTCAAACATCAATTTTCAGACAAAATTCCAAAGCAAGGGTCCTCTCACTTATCTCAACAAGAAACTGTTTGACTCCCATTAGTTACATTAAACATTTTGCTGAAAAGCATTACAGAGACTATTTAAAACAAAAAAAACTATCAAAGATTCTTTATATAATGAAAGAGATAAAAGTACAAATTACTCAGAATCACTACTTTTTACTCTAGTGTTCTCTAACTCAAATCGTCTGTAACTCAAAAGTTTTTTCCTGTCCCTTGAAGATCTTGAGTTAGAGAAGCTTTGAGTTAGAGAAGTTTTACTTATTTACAGCACACTTTGATTTAAAAAGTCATGGTAATCTGCATGTATTTTGATAACATATATATTTATTAAATATTTTCCCAATTACTTTTGTGTTTATAGTTGCTTGAGATGAAAATGATTCTATTTCAGATCATAATAATTATGAGGAATTCAGTTCCATTACACTGTAGTTCTGAAAGGGTAGTTCAACTTTTCACTTCTGTTTGGAATTTCAGTAATAGTAATGGAACTGTGTGTTACACAGTCCCAATTTATCTTTTACCTGCTCTACACATCCCATCATTTTGGCAACAATGGTATGTGTGCTGAATAGAAGTATTTTGATTGATGTAGTAGAACAGCCCTGTGCTTGGTAGAAGCAATTGATAGACTTAGAAAATTAAGGATCACCTAGCCTGTACTGTAGTCCAAATCTATCACCATGCAATTATCACCTGTTTGTTAATTAAAGAAAGTCTTGAGAGACAATAGTTACTGCATGAAGAACTCTCAGAAGTTAGTGTTTGTCATACAGTAGATCTGACACCAACCAAAATATACTTCTATTCTGCAGATATATCATCATTGCCAAAACAAGAGAAGTGTCAGTGTTTGGAGGGGGTCCTAGAGGAGAGAAAAATTAAAATAAATTGAGACTATAAAACACACACATTCAGCTGGATAAGCAATCCAATGACATACTCCACTTCAGATGAAATGGACTGTCATTGGCTTGCTTATCCAGCTGTATTAAAGTCACTTTACCAGACAATGCACCCTTTATTCATGAGGAAGTTAGTTCAGTGAAAACACATCAGATCTAATGGGTATATCCAAATTTGATTTTTTAATAAATTTAATCTAGCACAGAAAAGTAATTTTGTGATATACAGGGTTAATACTCAAATTTTTTTTTTAATTTCATGACTTTCCCTGACCAACTTTATGCAAATTTCCTGACCCTCATGTCCCTTATAGTATGGCTCACTGACAATATAAAACAGAATTTGACTTACTATGCACATATGCTATTGCTTCTCTAACTTTTTAATTACTAGTAGTTATTTTTTCTAATTAACAGTTATATACTTTTTATAATTGCCAAATTATTAACATTAAAAATAAAATGTTTTATTAAACTTTAGCTTATTCTGTTATTAATCCACAACCATAAATCTACATGGCTTTGAAAAAAGCCTTTATTTATTATTCATTAATAAATCTTGTATAATCCATGTACAAAAGTGTATATTTATTAAATTTATCCCTGAATAAATTTCTTGAACTTTTTATAAAGTATTAACAAACTGGAAAAAATTGAAAATTGTTTTGTTAGGCAATCAAAATTATTAAAATGAAAAATAATAAATAATACCATTCACATTAAAATTTATTTATCATTTTTTGTACTTTGTAAAATTTGTGTATGCTTGGAAGAAATTTTGGTTCCTGAAAATATTCTGCACCTTTTTTCATTAGTTGTATTGCAGCACTACATTACTTCTTGCTGCTTGCAGATGGCTACACTTAGTCAAGTATGCTGTCACCAAAAAAAATTCTACAAGGCAGCCAAAGAAGCAAATTCCCTGACTTTTTGATAATTTGAGAAATTTCCTTTCCATGACTTTTTCCAAACACTAATGAAAATCCCTCTTTTCTGACTTTCTAGGTGCATAGGAACCCTGCAAATACCTAAATTCATATTTATTTAATTTCATTATTATTTAAAATCATTACTAAAATAATATATGAGACTGTAATAATAATTCAAATAAATAAATACATTACAGATTTATTCTTATTCTTCTGCTTTGTATTTTGCATCTGAACAAAAATATTTTTATTTTTCATACAGCTCCATATGTAGAATTCAAACTGATTGATGAAACTGATTAATGAAATGAAATCTCTAAATCTCTAATTTGAAGGTACCAAACCTTCAAATTAGAGATTTCACTGTATATTTTGTGTGTTTAATTCATTCAAATATATTTTTTTGAAATTTAAATACAGTAGAGCGTCGATTATCCGAATCAATTGGGGACTGGGGTTGTTCGGAAGATCAATGTTTCGAATTACCGATTATGTANCCGAATGCCCCGAATCGTGATTGCCGGAAGTTCCGCCTTTTTGGAACCATAGGTAATCTTAACCTAACTTATTATAGGTAGCAAGTTTTCAGAAACTTAGACAAGTTGACTCAGAGATAAATGTTTGTGAGAGCCGAATTTAGTGAAATAAATTGTTTAAATATTTTTTATTGAGGAAAAAAAAGTTTAGAGAAATAAACACAAAAAACGACATTTAAAAAGATAATTAAATTACTTTCCCACGGACTTAGTTCCTGGTTAAAGATGATACATCGAATGTGTCACTCGGAA